TCTTGTACTTTTATCTAGAGACACACACACTAAAAGCAGGCAGAAATGAATATAAGGAAATAATCAAAATGTATGAATTTCATGTGAATGTGTTTTTTAAAATATTTTTTTCTACTTTCTTATTTAGAAAATTCTTAAACACACAAAGTGAGCTCCTTATCAATCTTTTGCCTAACGATTTTAGCACCCGTTGATGATTGTTGCTTAGATCTATTATTGCATTAAGGATTGCATAATAGTGAATTTCTACTTCTAACATTTCTTCTGCCTTTATTAGCTGGAAATCTTCTATGAGGAGAATTTTCTCCTTATTGACTATTTTATAACCCTGGAAAAACAATTTGTATAGAAAAGACTAAATAAATACTTGATTGTCCCCCTTTATCAGTATTCAGAGTACTGAGTTGGTGCACCAGAAACATCCAAGCAACCATTTTTACTTATAATCACCATAAAGTTATGAATTTTACATATTTGGTGCATTCAATACATTACATTATTTTCACATTCAAATTGTCCTATCTTAAGCAAGATTGGAGTCCTTTGCAAAAGGGAACCCTAGTACACTGCTGGTGGGAATGCAGACTGGCGCAGCCAGTATGGGAAACAGTATGAAGTTTCCTTAAAATATTAAATATGGAACTGCCATTTGACCCAGTGATCCCAATTCTAGGAACATATCCTAAGAAACCCGAAACACCAGTCAGAAGGAACTTATGCACCCCTATGTTTATAGCAGTGCAATTTATAACAGCTATAAGATCTGGAAACAGCCCAAGTGCCCATCAGTAGATGAATGGATAAAAAAGCTGTGGGACATTTACACCATGGAATACTACGCAGCTGTAAAAAGAAGGATCTCGTACCCTTTGGGGCAGTATGGATGGACCTGGAGAATATTATGCTAAACAAAACAAGCGAGGCAGAGAAAAACAAGTATCACATAATCTCACTCATACGTGGAATATAATAAACAAAATAAACTGATTAATAAAATAGATCCAGAGACACAGAAGCATGGAACAGACTGAGGAATCTCAGAAGGAAGGTGGGGGTGGGGAAGTGAGTGGGAAGAGATTAATCAAAGAACTTAAATGCATATGTGCATAACCCATGGACACAGATAATAGTATGGGCAAGGCCTGGGGGTGGGGCAGACCTGGAGTGGACAGGATCAATGGGGGGGGATGGGGACCATCTGTAATACTTTCAACAACAGAAGGAAGGAAGGAAGGAAGGAAGGAAGGAAGGAAGGAAGGAAGGAAGGA